CAATGACAAAAATGTTTAGCAAAGATTCTTTATATAAATGGACATTAAATTTTAACTGCTTCTTGAGCTTGTAGAAAAACCAGAGCCCTCTTTCTTTATGTTCGAAATACTGGCAAGCAAGCGCTTCCATTCCTATATAGACAAGTGTTCTTGTTTTGATTGTAAATAATTTATGTTCGTTTGCGTGAAACGAATTAGAATATAAATTTATTTATCATATGTACTAGGAACACATGCTTTTTGTTTGAGGAATGGAAGCGCTTGCTTGCCAGTATTTATTAGACGTATACATTTACAAACACAAGTCTTCAATGGTACCGATTCTCTACCTTCCTTCTACAATATATCAAAAATATAATTAATCACACATAACAGTACAAAATGCATTTTAACACAATGCTTTTATATGTCCTCACTTCACTGATTAAAAACGTAATATAATGCATGTATGAACACAGTTATGCTTCCCTCGCCGCCCAGGAAAAACCATAGATAAAAAACAACATCGATTTATGTTGAAAAAACTATGGAAACCTGTAAGTCCGCAGCAATTGCGAGGTAAACAAAACTTACGTAAGTGTCATATATTATAATGTACAATTAATCGACTAGTTTAAGTAAAACCTATGCAAAATAAATGTAAGTTAGAACTATCTGTAAACACATTTCGACTTTATGTAGCTAATATGTACCATTGCACGACAATCTTACATTTATATCAAATTTTACATAAAATTATCTAGAGCGACTAAGCATATTGTTTCCCATCTTGGACAATTAATCTGTTGTGTACAAAACTTTTAATTTTCTTGTAATGAAAACAATTACTTTCTTTATTAAACAAAATACAAGTAAAAGTGTGAAGTAAGTAAGAGGGTGGGTGGGTGGGTGTGAATGTCGCAAAGCAATGCCTTCGAATGAGTTAAAAGCGTGATTAAAGTGAATATCTGTTCTACAGGTATCGACCTTTAAATACTGACCAATAGCTAGTGTCGCTTTCTATTTAAAATTTGAATTCTGAAGTGTTAAATGGACGAATTGAAGTAAACATCCGGTAACTGATAATGCATTCACGTTAAGGTCAGACGACAAGTTCCTTAAAAATATATAATTTTTTTTCAGATTTGTCATTGAAGTCTAGGTACTTAAACAAGTTTCCTCACAAAAAATTAGGGTACCTTACCAGGCATTTGGACAAGATACCACAGGGTGCTATATATTTCTTAAATATATATCCCATATGGGTAATCATCTGAATGACCTATATTTTAATGTACTTATATTTAAAATCATATTGAAAACAATTAATGTAGAAATCACAAGAGAATGACAAATATGCATTTTTCTATGTTATACCAAGAAAGACAAAAGATATATTTTAGGAAGGTGTCATCTGATCTTTTAAAGGTTGCGACAAAGGAAGTTGTCTGTAAAGGTATTGCATGACTGCGTGTAATTCAAACGTCGCAATGTTCGACCCTGTCAAATTATAAATTGCAGTAGTTCATACGATTGTTTAATTTTCACTTGTATTTCTCAATTTTCTCAAGAATTTCTGGATCATAAAAGGGAAAATTCAAACTTTTGCTCATATCCCCATATCACGAAATTTTGTATTTTATATTAACTTGGATAATTCTATGGTATTAATATGATATTAATTATCTCTGAATAAATTAAAATGTAGTAGGACAATGAACTGTATATATCGTTCGAAGCTGTATGAACTTTCTCTTATATTGCTTATCGTCTCCAGCAGATTTTTCTCCTCCAAACATTTCAAAAGCTGTGGTAACGTCAATCAATATAATATATTCAATTTACTTCAAGATTAGCAAACAATGTTAACGTCACCTTGAAGATGCATTTTGTTTGATTGATTTGCGATATTCTAGTATTTTTAAGATATTACGTTCAAAAAAAAATCGGGCTGCAAAATAATGCCTCTCTGGTGTAAAAAAAAGTGCCACATTTTAATTTTAGAAGTACATGTATAAATATTCCTTGACGTTTAGAATTTGGACACTCAACTAATATAATATAAGATTATAATCTGATTTCAGAATAAACAGAAATGGCATCCATGTCTACTATAGCTGAGGAGTTTCTGACGTGTTCTATCTGCTTTGAAGTCTACACTGATCCCAAAACACTTCCATGCCTGCATTCATTTTGTAAAGGTTGCATCGATAACTTCACAAAGAAAGAGCAGAATAAAAAGAAATATCCATGTCCGGTGTGTAGGGAAACATTTAAACTTTCTTATAATAATGCTGAAAATTTGAAGACAAATTTCTGTTTGAAAAATCTTATTGAGCTTGTTAGCTCCAGCAAAGAAGTGAAGAAACCATGTTCATTTTGTAGTATAAAAGGCGAAATTGTTGAAGCATCCTCACAGTGTCTAACATGCAAAGATTTCCTTTGTAATGAATGTGCAGAGCATCGACATAGGTCCTCTACACTAACACTGAATCACAGAATCGTCCTTCTCTCTGAAGTTTTCTCTGGAAAATATAATGAGGAAATTCGTTCCAAACAGCAGATTCCCTGTTCTGAACACACTGGCGAGGACCTGAGGTACTTCTGCGAAACATGTGATGTTTCAGTTTGTCGCGATTGCATTGTCCTCAGTCACCAAAACCACAAATGCGTTTCTCCATCGGATGCCAGGAAAACAATGGAAGAAAAGCTGAACACCTTCATGAAGTCTCTGAATGAAAATGTAGAAAAATTTCAGGCGGCCAAGGAAAATGTAGCAATTGCTTCGGGTAATTTGGAGATCAAGAAGCAAGAGTTGAAGGCAGATTTAGAAAAGAAAATGAATATCATTATCGAAAATATGATAGAGTCAAAAAAGTCAGTCGAAAAAGAATTAGATCAGATCGTGAAGACAAAACAAGACAGGTTGCTAAAACAAGGGGAATCGATTGACAAGGAAAGGAAAGTACTAGAAGAGACATATTCGTTTTGCCATAACCTCGTCAGATGTGGAAGTGATATTGAAATTCTTTCTATGAAATCAGAAATAAAAGATCGCATATCAGCATTGCAGTCATTGAAAAGAACAGAATGTTGCAAATTTGAAGGCATTGACTTGCCCGTCATTGCGAGCAGTACCGATGGACGCATTTTTAACTTGGCATATGAAAACGCAGGGGAAAGTGACAAAAATTCAAAGCAGGATGATACAAAACTAGAAGAATCAAATAGGGACAAAGCTGAAAATGACACAATAAAGCCGGAGAGAAATGGACCAATAAGATCTATGGGCAATCGTTCATATCCCAGATTACTACAAACGTTTTGGGAACCATATTCTTGCGAAAGTCAAAAGCCAAGGTACTCAAGCGTCTCATGGATGAATGAAGATTCCTTTGCAGTTGTCGACCAGAAAAACCAAAAGGTGAAACTTCTCTCAAAGCAGAACAATGATAGCAATTCAGTAGCTGTCCAGGACTGCGAGGTGCTAACGTCTTTCAAGGGAGGGATAGCGTGTAAAACAACGAAGAATCAACTACATATAATTAACAACTTCCTGAACATAAAAGAGACATTTTCAGGTGTTTCAATTTTGATGACTTGCCATTCGAATTCATCTCAAATAAGTTGGATCTCCGGTTTAGATAAAATATGCATTTTGGAAAATTCCCAAATCAAAAAAGTCAGCATCTCTGACCCAAACAAAGCAGGGAAGCTAAGCAAACCGAAATTTGGGCACGTTCTAAACAATGGAATGTTTGTTGTTTCGGATTGGAACCGGGATTGCGTGTTTATCCTGAGAAAATCTGGGTATATAGAGAGAAGGAAATATTGCTGCCCGGATTCCATTGCCTCAGATTCTAACAATATTATCTATGTATGTGACGAAGAAAAGAGTCGAATTGAGATATTTAGACCGTCAGGAGAAACTCTGCAATTAGTAAAGATTGGATCAATCTTAAAAAATCCCAAAAGTATTACCATGAACAAAGAAGACGAAATCTTGATCACAAACGAACACTCTATCGTTTTAGTTCACCTGGAGTAAACTTGGGAACCTTGAAGGCGAAGTTTCTGATGAACAGTACGAGTGCAGTTTAATTTGTATTTTTTCTCATATCAATAATCATTGATACAAAGAATTTTTAAAATAATCTTTAAAGTGAGTTTTCTCTTAAAGTATTTCATTGGATGACAAACTTGTTTTGATTAATCTCACCAGTGCAACTGATGTTTGACGTCTGAGTTTTATAGGGGCAATTATTTTCCCTTTTTCTGATCTTTGAAGACTCCTATGTCAAGCCTGATTTCTTTCAAATTTTTCACTCACAATATCCAAAAAGTACTTTTTCTTTTGTCATCATTCAAATCATAATATTAAACATTTGTCTTATTCTTAGGAAATAGCATTGAGAATTAAGGGGGATGTCCGGCCACCTTTAGTGCAGTGAGAACAAAATGTAAACATTTCTTCAAATGGCTAAAATACATTATATTTTGATCAAATTTTAAATCCTTATGATGAAGATAAATAAATATGCATAACTGAATGCATGTTGTTTATATATAATCTATACTTTTGCAGAAAAATGCTTTTGATATGCTCTTTAGAACTGCGCAGCTACAGAATTCAGCAGAGCCTTAAAAATCCAAAAAAATATGCTAACTGTGCATTAATGTTCTCTCTACAACCATTTGTTGAGAAAATGTCTAAATTTTGCACTTTTAAATAATAATTTCAAGTTCAAAACAAGGTACCGTTGTCTTCAAAAAGAGTGTAAAGAACCGTGAAAGTAGTTCATGGATAGCAGCACGTGGTCTATTTTTAGCACAGAATTTTGTTTTCCAGACCTCTTCTTAATATGGAGGGACATAACGATCTTTAAATGTAGAAGAGAATTACAGTTGCAAAATATTTCAAATAATATGAACACTTTTAAAAGAGGAAAGGTGTTATAGTGTGGCTTGAAGTAATTTATTTAGTATTATTATCGAACAGTTGTTAAATAGTGTACGTATTGATATAAAAAAAATCTTAAACTCTTTGATTCCAGGTAAGGAAAAATGAGCACCATCAAAGTTAAAAAATAAGACTTTGTAATTTGCCACAGATAACTTATATTATCTATCAAAATTTTAATTATCACCAATGAATTATAAAGCAATTAGACACATATAATCGATATGAATGACCTTGTTTTAATACCTACTAGTACGAGGGGTGATCAAAAAGTTCGCGAACTATCTCTATATCTACAAAACCACAATTCAGATTAGAAACATAGCCAAACACAAGTTCTATAAATAGCATATGCTGAAGTTTTTCTCCTTGTTTGTGATGTCACAATCTGAAAATGACGTCATGCAGGTATTTGTGACGAAAATATTCTATTTGCCCATATAGTCAAAATTAAAATTTTACATAGTAAAGAAAAAAATCAACATAATTAAATATTTTATACCATCTTTAAAATGACGTTTGGTGGTCCTCCCAACTCAGGGTAAAATTATTGGGTCCGTATTTATAGGTGAGAAAGAAATTCCTTAAAATTTAAACATAATTGTTGACCGAAGAAAAAGAAAAAAATATCGTGTAATGGGATGTAAAAAAATGAGTCGGGCCATTTCCAGGCAGTAGATCGGGAGAGAGGGCAACCAAATATTTTTATAACAGGTGCTCTTTTAAGGCTAGTACATATATTCCATCACGTACTTAGTTATGCAAATTTTTTAAAATCTTTTGCACTAAATTGAAAAACAAACATAGGATTTTCGGGGGGGGGGGGGGGGGGGGCTCTCACTTTTTTGCGACGATAGACATAGCATATGCAATGGACCTTTCTTTGCAAACATTGTGCTCGCTTCTAAATTTCAAAGAAACAACTCAATATATTTTATCAAGCTTCGTATGTTCAATGAGCGAGATCTTAAAACGTTGTCAACATAATGAGACATGATGCGTTTTTATGTCCAAACATTACTCCATACAATATGTTGGTCATTGCAAACAATCTAGCTATTTATGTGAGGTGCCTGAAGGAAATCCTATAACTGCCTATTTTTTCTATCTAACTTCTAAACAAAATATACATATGTACAAATTTTCGAATGTACCGAGACATTTAATTACAATTTGTTTTTCATGCACCGCATATTGTTTAACATTTTCAAATTAAATGCTAAGCATCATCCTTGCAGTGCCCCATTTGAAAATAACTTCTATCGCCACAGAAAAAAGACCCGCCGTAAACACATATATTTAGGACATTTTTATCTTTTTTTTCCTTGAGTTTAAAGAAACCAACAAATTATCAAGACTTGTTCCATGAAAAAATAAATATAATCATGGTAATAAACGGATCTATCCACAGCAGATATATGCACATGCCAACCATGTGCTCAGTGGAATAATATTAACGAGGAAACTCGAGCTGTGAACAGAACAGTTTTTCCCGATTTGCTGGAGTGGGGTTAAAATCGCGTTTTTTCATTAATCCGGCGATGCGATGCAACAAATAAAAGTAGTAAGTAATATAACCTAATGATTATTACTTAGTAATTTCTTGTCTTGATGTTATTATGGTCGCATTTATTCTAAAATCAATGTTATTCGAACTCTGTGTGACAGAGGAATGGCGGACGAAATAAACACATGGTCTCAGAAAAGACACCCATATGAAAAATCAAATTTTCAAGAATTATGGATAATGACAAGAAAAAAGCGAAACAAATGGTTGTAGCCATATTATCAATGAATCTAACTAACACCATTTTCAATGCATTTATCACCTCGTGAATGCTGTAGCTGCGCATTTCTAACATGGTTAATTTCCTCCTAATTAAAACAAAATAAACTTAATTGTTTACTAATTTTGGTCTCTAACAATAGGTAATTAGTGCAATAGCACTTTGAGTAACTTTTGGCTAGTAGAGTATTAAGCACATTCTTGGTATTTCTTATTTTACACCAGACTAGATCCAATATGGCTTGTACATCCCCCTTAAAACGAAAGTTAAGAAATTATCTTAATGTCTTAAAAATTATTCATTTAGATAGATTCAAATCGAAATTTCAAATGAACTTTATAAGTACATGTAAATAAATGTTATTTTTAAAATATAAAGAACATTTTCATGGTTGTATTTGAATGTATTTACAAATACAATTTGTTAAGCTCCCATAATCGAAGACCTATATATACATATAGGTTTTTTCCTGTACGTCCGTCTGTCTTTTTATCCGCAAAAAACTTTAATCTTGCCTATAACTTGTGAATGGATGATGTTATGGCTTTCATATTTCACAGGTGTATTTCTTGAGACAAGACCTTTCTTTGAATACCAACAAATTTGACTCCTTGACCTTGGAGTATGGCCCCCTTTTTCAAAAAAACAAAATGTGTTTGAGAAACACTTAGACCCCCGTATGGCAGCTTATGGCAAGGGTCAAATGTTCTTAAATACATATCAAACTCCAAAGGTCAAGGTCAAAAGATGAAAAATTAATTGCACTCAAAGGAATGTCTTGTCACAAGGACTACACCTGTGAAATATGAAAGACCTAGTTTTAACTGTTCAAAAGGTTAACATGTTTGAAAACGGAGGTCGAACTCTAAGATCAAGATCAAAAGGTAAAAGATATTGATACCCGGCTGCTGACAGGTCTTGTCACAATAAATACAAACGTGAAGCCTGGAAATCCAACCAACAATTTTTCAAAAGTTATGACCAAGGTTAAACTGTGATAATTATTTTGTAAAAGTGGGCAAAACTCGAAGGTCAAGAGGTCACATTTGGTGGTACCCAAGGAAAGGTCTTGTTACAAGGAATATACCTGTGAAATATGAAATCCACAGGTTTTACCCTACTCAAAAGTAACAAACAGACGATTGGACAGGGCAAAAACCATAATTATATCCCCGAATTTTTTATTACGGGGGCATAAGAATACCAAACTGTATCCTTGGTCAAAAGTTTTGAACAATTTGTGCTAGAGCTTTCATACCTCACATGTGTATTTATTTTGACAAGACCTTTCAATGGGTATGAATTTACATGTATTTGAACCTAACCTCAGAATTACTTTGTAAAAAACACTTTAATCTTGGCCATTAATTTTAAACAGTTAGTGCAATGGCTTTTATATTTCACAGGTCTATTCCTTGTGAAAAAAACCTTACCTTTTTGACGCAGTGCTTCATGAGAATATTTTTACTTGTAATTTTTTCCTGTTGAGAGAAGGCATGGTATTTCATTTGAACAAGCATGATTCACCTTTATGCAGGGAAACTTAGTGGTAAGTTTTGATGAAATTTGCCCTGTGGATCTTGAGAAAAAGTTGAAAAACATAAAAAATTAACAATTCGAACAACATCGATAAACAACGGATAATTTTGATCAGAAAAGCTCACTTGAGCCTTCAGCACAGGCGAGCATCTAGGTATTATATGTAATAAATAATCACCGTTGTGAATGATACTGATTCGAACTATTACTTGCAAGTTCAATAGAGACATAGAAAAATTAAAATGGTATTTTTCTACTCGTACAAAATTGAGACCTTTAACCCTTGAAAAAGAACCATAAAGACAATTTACATATGTTGCTCACCAGTTGAAAGACATTATCGTTATTTTGTTTCGTTTTAGCAGAAATTGAAATTCTATATGACTGATTATGACTAAACATTTTCACTTGCATGGGTATACACTGATTTCTGAAAATGAATATGTGCGTTTTTGACAAGATATTTTGGGTCAACACACTGATCAATATTTAAAAATGTGCACTGTCTTGATAATGCATTCTATATATGAGGGTCAATAAAAATCTTTTCACATGAAAGAGTAGTCGTTCACATGACTAAATCTTTGTCGGCCGTATTATTTTTCAAAACTAGGCAAAAGAAAAAGGTAGGATAAAATCTGAGGTAGTTTTATTTTTCACATAAGATCAATTTGAGGTATCAATTGTACTATTGTTATGCACTTTATTACTATATAGTTTCATTTTGAATGATTTATAAATGTTTATTAAAAGTGATATAAAGTAGAGGCAATTTTGTTGCAATGTACTTTTTCTTTATTAACAAGTTTGCACATCTTAA